GGACCCGCGGCGCGACACCCTCCGCGCCGTGGCCTCTGCATATTTAATTGAGGCTCGCGCTTCTCCCTGGCAGAGGCGCGCGTCGACACTCAGAGGTACAGTGAGATTTAAGGTGGTCGGGAGAGATCGCGGCGGAGAGCGGTCCCTCGCCCCAGCCCCCGCGGGAAAGCCGGCCGGGGGCCAGGGCAAAGTTGCGGGCAGCCCTCCCACCCCAGCGCGCTGCTGCGGGGCGAGGGCTATGGCAGCACCGGAGCGGGGTCTTACATATATCAACAGTGCACATAAATAAATAAATACACAGATAAAAATCCAGCCCCTCCCCAGCAAACCCTCGCTGTTGACCTATATTTGGAGGAAACCCGCTCCCAGCGTCTGGATGCCGGCTGCACTTTCCAAACTCCAGCACCCGTGGACCCACTGGCTTCCCCCATTTCCCATGAACAACAGGCTGGGACTGTCTGAGGGCTATTTTTTTTTTTTTTTTTTTTGTGCATAAAATGGTTCCGCATTCTGATTGCAGCCGAGGTGGAACATTTACCCAGTTGTAAACCTTGTGCTAGCTGATTAAAAAAAAAACAAACCCCAAACCACAAGTGATGCAATGCTGATAAGTTGCAAGTCCCTCCCCTCTGGAAGTACCAGAGCATCCTTAAAGAAATATCAATATATTTACGCTCTGATGGGCACAATTGCAAATGATGGGATTGCAATACAAGCCATATAATGCAGGAACAGGAGAGGCATGGTCGATTCTGCTTCAGCTGCTTTTGTGAGTGCGAGGTTTCCATAGCTGCTAAATTTAGAATGGGCTTGCAAGGAAAAATAAGGAAGGGCAAATAATAACACAGCATCAAAACCAAGCCAGGCGCTGCACCGAGCCAGGGCTGCATTTGTAATAATGAATGAGTGGCCTGGCGGTCACCATACACTTGGGGTCCTCCGAGCCGTCTGCAATTCGTTTGATCAAAGTGCAGCCTTGGGGACAAATGCAAACAGAAATCTCTACCCAAGTTACAGGGGACGCCATGGCCCGGTTCTAAGGGCAAGTATCACATCAAAGCCCAACACATGTCTAGCAATAGGCAGCTTCCCTCTGCAAACTTATCGGGCTATAAAGATGTAGGCTTACATTTAAGAAGGCACCTCCCCGGGTGAGTGTTGGGGGAGGGGATGTCTTTCAAAAATACCAAGACAGATGCTTCATTTATCATTGCTCAGATATGTTAACAAACAAATATATATGCATCTATGTGGCTCTACCTGAGTCATCAGTCTGTCAGCTCCAGTGTTCTCTTCATCCTTAAAAATAATGTCAGGGTTGTAATTTGGGGTTAGTTCTTTAAATCTCTCGGAGTTTCTTATGATCTTCCCTTCATATCTTCCACTGGCCCCTAGGGTCTTCTCTGCCACATTGGGGATATACTGCTTATAGGCTAAAGGGGTCAGTTTTTTGGGGTGTCTCCTTTTTCCAATCCCCCTGCCCGGTCCACAAGGCAGCCCCGAGGAGACCAAAAGAGCGCAGATGAAGCCCACCAAGAGAATTCTTGTCAACAGCAGCATTTCGTCCATTGAATCCAATTACTTCCCAGCTTTCTGTGGCTATCCCTGGCTGTCTCTCTAGATAGCTCTCTTCCTATGTCCTTGTCTGCTTTCTGAATCGTATGCTATCCACCGATCCCTAGCAAGACAGGTGCTGGAATGGCAGGCTCTAGGTCGCTGATAACGGAACACATCGGAGTTGGGTCGTGAGACAGCAATCGGGAGACAAAAAGGGTCTGATTTTAATGGTAGCAAGGCTAGAGACGCTTGTGAGAGGAGTCTGCCTTAGTTCTATATTATAGCTGCCAGGGCCGAGTCCTGATTGGCCAAGGCGAGACAGCTTGTCTTCTGATGTATTAACCCTCAAAAAGGCAACAAATTCTTGAAAGATTTTTTTTCCTTTTACCTGAAGCGCTCGGAGCTGAAAGGGGTGGAGACTGCGCTTTCTTGGGATAACATCAATTACATGCTGGGTTTTTTTGTGTTTTTTTTTTAACTTTCTTGGCAGAATGGTACATATGTCAGCAACAGTAACAAATGCCCCCGTGAAACAGGGAGAAAAGATGATCAGGCTGCCTCCCTGCTAGTCAAGTTTTCAAGGGCAGTTTAAAGCAATATAAAACAGCGCCTTGGCTATCACACCACGTCGCAATTTTTTTTTTTCCCCAGGGGCAAAATGACAAGCCCATTTCATGATGAACCCCCCCAAGTGCCTGGGAATCAGTCTTTTTTTTTTTTTTTTTTGTCCATTGAGTTACAATCCTGCACTCTCATGAAAGCAATGCAACTTGAAAAAAAACCAACACACACTTGTCCTCCCAGCAGTGAAGTGACTGCATTAGAAGAGGGCGAGACAAGTCATTTTGATATAGAAGTGGCAGTTTTATAAAGTTCCTGGTGTGTGACTTTTACAGGACACGACTGCTTGTGAGGGGCACTTCATTGCCCTAGTCTTCAGAAAATATTGGACCTGAAGGAAGAAGGCAGCAGCGAACTGATTCAAAGCTGCAGCCCAGGTTTGGTGTCCCGAGCAAGTTGGGGCTCCGGGCTTTGTTTCTTTGGTCGAGCTGGGAAAAGTGCATTTCAGCCCCTTATACCCGCCTCCTCGTGGGGTGTCATTACGTTTTGAAGAAAAGCAAGGTGTTGAAAGCATCCGCAAACACAATTACCAGAGATCGATCCAAGCCAAGTGAATGGAAAGGGGATAAGTTTAATGTTAAATTAATTGTTATCTCATGCAGCGTGGCAAGTGATGTCTTTATCCCCATCTCCAAAAGCTACTAATCAGACAAAGGTGTTGAGAGACGAGCAAAATTGCAGCGAGATGGGGCTGATAGAGCAGGTTAGACAGAAGAGCAGAGTCCCATAAGAACAAACACTCCTGCTCCTGCAAAAAGCTCAGTTGCTTTTGCTCCAAAGAAAATACAATTTACCCAAGAATTTAGAAACTTTGAAGAATTTTTTTTAAAAGACTTCTTTAAAAACCTGGACGGCTTGTTGGCGTAATTCAAGAGTTCCCCTTGCCCGCAAAGGTGCGGGGAGTCCTCTTTATTCAACGAGACAAACTTTGTGGGACAAGCAGCAATGGAAGTTTCCCACAACTGTTAAGTAACTCATGGACTTTGAAAAAGAAGTCGTGGACTTCAAAAAGCAGTGTTGAGGTAGTAAAGAGGGTTGTGCCAGGGAGCAGGGTGGCAGTGGCAGGGACCTAGCTGGGATGCTTCCTCCTTTCAGCAAACTTTACAAGGAAAGAAGCCGAATGAACTTGATCCAGAGCTGTCTGCCCGCCGTCGACGGGCGGTGAAGTCGGCTTCTCGCCTTGCTGCTGTCTTTAAGGTTTCAGGGATTTTCTTTGCCCAACGCCAAACTCTGAAGCTGCGAAGGAGCTGAGAAGTTGGAGATTTACTTCCCGAGCGCTGAGCAAGTTTAAGAAACAAGTGATATCAGGGCCAAAGGGCTTCGTGGCACCATGTTTTCCTACAAACTAAGTCCTCTCTTTGTGTGTGCGTGTGAGAAGACAGGTACAAGGAATACGTAATTTATACAACAGAGTGTATGCTCTTTTGATGTGGTTGCCTTAAACAGCATGACTTGATGTAACAGTTGATTAAATAGTGCCAGGGTATAAAACCCCAACCTGTTCCAAATGGCGGGGGAGCGTGCAAATCTTTTATCACGCCTCCTGCCCACCCCCGAAGGGGAGATGATCAATACCCCAGTTAGTGAGCGCGTGGACGTTGCCATGAAGAAGTCTAGAGAACAAGGACAAACGCCCTCATTATCAGATTGCCATATGTACAAAGCAGTCACCCAAAGATCAACAGGGAAGGAAACGCAAAGAAGGAATTAATTAAATGCCAGTAATAAATGCAGGGGGAGGAGGGGGGAGAGAGAAATCAAGAAAAGTTGTAACGATGGGAAGCTTAAAATCAGCCTGCGATCAAATTAGAGGTGAAAGAAAGCAGAGCCGTTTTCGGGGCTGGGTCTGGTCTGTTTCAGCCGGGGCCGGGCTCCCAGCGCCGGCCGGGGGATAGCGGGGGGTTTCCGTGGGGGGCGGCG